AGCATGTCACGTTCATCAGATAATTAATTCATAATTAATTCACCAGATAATTCAGAGTAGAGGCTCACAGCTCGCTGATGAGTCGCTGCCACGCATTGGTGCGGATATCTCTGTCAGGACACTGACTGCAGGCACTCGATTTCAGCTAAAGAGCTCCTCTCCATCTGTTTCAGGTTAGTGGACATCATTCAGTAAACTGTCCCGTCGGGAAATATGTCGCTACGTCACACAGTGGAGTCTCTCTGATTGGTTGACGCGGCGCGTCGAGCTGCAAAAGTTCAGATTTTCTAACTTCAGCGATTTGCGCCCCAAGCATGTCGAACGCTCAGATCGTTCAAATCGCGCTGCTCTAATCGTGCTTGAGGCGCCGCAGAACTTCCCGACGCTGCTTGAAGTGCGTCCACCATAGACTTTGCATGTAAACCTGATGCTCCTGATGCTGAAATCGCATTCGGTGTGAACGCACCATAAGAGTGTCTTTGGGGTGGTAAAAATCCAGCCCTATGGACACTTTCTGCTGGTTTTAGTGCATTGATACAAACAGTAAACCTAACGTGAGCTCATAAAATGCAGGAATATCACTCAGCAAAACTTGTGTCCAACAGAGGAGATATTCTGTTAAAAATGGATTTGGAGCAGACAGAGCAAGCTTGAACTTAACACCAAGAACTAAGGACATAAAAGGGAACAGGACTTTTTTTGCCAAGAAGGTAGGACAGTTTTAACCTAATCTGTGGCAACTGTGAGTGAGCTAAGTTTATGCTAGTCTAATATAGAGCTGAAGTCATGGTGACAGGTTTTAATAACAGGGGAGACGGTACTGCACTCCCTGTTTGAGCTACAGGTGATGTGCGCTTTTTGTGTGTGTGTGTCTGTGGTGGGGGGAAGCAACGCATCCTGTTTGTCTTCCTTGTTTATCGGTTCTGTGCTGCTGGAGCAGAAACCGGTGGATGAAAGTCAGAAGACGTGCGATCAGATGACCAGATGAAGTGTTTACATGACACACTTTTATTCCGAATGGCCGTTTAATCAGATTAGCCTACTTATGTCCATGCAGGATGCATAATTCACCGTTTTATTTTTATTTTACTTTTATTAAAATTATTTCACAAGACGTCTTTAACTTTATTGCAGAATATTACGCCTACTCAAAGTTTTATTAGAAAAGCTGTGTAGCTACCTGTCTGATCAATTTCTCCAACAACTAAATAAGTTTGGGTGGGAGGCGTTTTGCTTATTTAATGTCCGGACCTTTTTTTAAATTTTATTTACAAGACGGTGACGGAGAAAATAGACGACAACTTAGTGCACAAATAACTGATTAAAAGTATAGCCTATATTTTGCACAGAAAACATGCTGCAAATTGTGTTTATATTGATTTAGGAAAACAATGTCTGCCCCACCAATTTTTATGCTCACGAGCCGCTACTGGTCAACTAAGACAGCCCCACAACATCCAGAGCCTTGAGGAAATCAGGGCAGATTTCATCCGCCCCCAGAGCCATGCTACCTCTGAGTTTTTTAAAGGGATCCACGAGTAGTTGTAACATTAAACTTTATTTATAAACATTTTTTTTAACTGTAAAATAAAGACTGTAAAAATATTGTAGAATGTTCAGTTTTGTAAATTTTTTAAAATATATTTTAATAAGGATGGAGCCATTTCATTTACATGCAAAGCATTCTGGGTAAATGATGA